CTCTCTCTCTCTCTCTCTCTCTCTCTGTGTGTGTGTGTGTGTGTGTGTGTGTGTGTGTGTGAGTGTTGTCATGTGCTGCAGCCATAGCGCCCAAGTCACTCTGTGTGTGTGTGTGTGTGTGTGAGTGTTGTCATGTGCTGCAGCCATAGCGCCCAGACTTTGTACAAGCATCTTGTTCTATAAGACTTCCGACTTCTCACCAATGTTCGGATTTCTTACAGCTTGTGTTGGTCTCCATGTGGGCTGGTCATAAAAGAGGCAAGGATTGAAAAAAAATATATGACTTTAGACCTGGACTGTGCATGGCCTGAGCAGTCAGAATCTGGCCTTGTCTTCCAATTCGGTGATGGGTCCAAGGGGGGTTCAGGGTGTATCAAGTTGCCATAAACCGGTGTAAAACATGAAGGGGTTCAAAGGGGTACATTTTAGCTCTCCTTTTCTGTTGTATTTCGCTTCCGGAATTAATAAGGAATTAAAGGTGAACCGCAGCCAAAAGTTGTTTGTAATGCAATTTAAACAGCTTTCCCCACCCTTTTTTCATATATACAATGGGCTAGTACTGCCTGGAACCTTATCAGACCACACCTGGCCAGGCCCATGCAGGTGGGTACCCAGGCGACCTCCCCCCCCAGCCAGGCCACTCAGCTTTTAGCACATATTAATACGCTTCCATGTTTCTGAATCACTATCCCAGCTCGTGTTGTTCGTGACGCTTATTGATGTTTGTTCCTTTTCACTCAATCCCAACCCCAGAATTGTAGGAGCCAGAACCAAAAGGTTCTGATAAAAAAAATAAAAAAAAATAATCCCCTGCTATTAGCCATAAAAGAATGACGGACGATATCTTCGTGCTCACAGACGATTCCTCATTCACCTCAAATCATCTTGCTGTTGGATTGACAAATCGCCAAACAAAGAATTGACAAAGCAGAGAATACCTACCATCAACTTCCCCTCCCCCCCAGCATCGCCCTTTTCCCACTGTTGCTGCAGGCAAAACCACGGCAAGCAACAATCTTGTGGCATACAAAAGATGAACCACTGTGATCTTCAGTATCTCACAGGTTTTGTCAGTTCCACCTGAAACAATGTTGTAGGGCTGGCCCTATCAAAGGACGATTTCAAAACAACTTTGGGCAAAATGGAACAGGTATGGGTGGTAAGCCCGTCCAGGAAGACATCTAGGATAGGTTATTCAAAAGCATTGCATCTTTCTGGGAAGCTTATTATTGCACATGTCTGCTGGAACAGTGCTCGTGATACTGCATCGGCCATCCAGTTGCTACGATTTCTTCGAATCCTACGGTAAGTAACAGAGTACAACCTTCCTGCAGATGTTTTCTGAGCTTTTTTAATTTGAAGTCTGGTGCCTATGTTTCCAGAGTTATTGATGTGTTGGATGCTTGTGTTTTGATGGTGCTAGAGGGCTAGAAGCCATGCACCTAATGGTTGTGTGGTACTGTAGTTGAGTGTGCTCATAACCTGTGTATGTGTGTGTGTTTCACACAACAGCCCCTGTTGCACCCAAATGGGTAGATCCAAAATCGATGCATCTTTACCTCTGTTGCAGACAATGAAACAGTTTTACCTCTATACAAGCAACATGGAGCAGAATAGATCCGTTATATCCCTTTCTTGACTATCTTTAGTCTGGCTTTCTTTGGGTACCCCTTCTATTTGTTCTTGCAGCGTCCTCTTTACTGTGCCTCTGACGTACAAGGCTGGCCACATTGACTGTGGTTGAGAGCCAGCTGCCCACATTCCCGAGTGCCTTAAAGGCACATTTGCACATTATGGAAGGAGGCAGAGTAAAAGGGGGGTATACTCCTGTACATTTTTTCCACATCTTCAGCTTATATTTTGTCTGTTCTCTTAACCCGCTGGTACCTTTCCAATATATCGGCCGGGGCCCCTCACCATGACTTTCAGAGGGCAGAAACAGGCTGTTGATTAAATTTATCAACGGCGGCCTGGCCCCAAAAGTAATGGTGGTTTAATGATGCTCATTTGTATGCATTTATTAGTAGAACACAGGGGAAGGGAGGAAAGAAGGAAGGGGTGGGGGTGGAGTTCTATAGGAAGAAAGTGCCGAGAGAGAGAGAGAGAGAGAGAGAGAGAGAGAGAGAGAAGGGAAGTCGAGTGGCAAAGAACAAAAGGCAGAAGTGTGGCACAGACTGGCCACTATTGTCTTTACCCCATTCCACCCGCCGGAGACAACTTCAGTTGTGGAGACCGGGCAGCCTGCGTCACCTCCTGCCCCCCCGGGTCCGGCACCAGGTGATGCCGGCGTGGGCATTCCGTCAGGTCCACCTTCCTCCCCCCTAGATCCGGTACCGCCGGATGCCGAAGAAGACATTCCGTTAGATTGTATGCGGAAGAGAAAGCTTAGGCACTTGGTGGGGATGGGTCATGATATGGGGCCTTTATCAAAGGAGGCGGTGTTGCTCATACCTATACGCCGAAGGGAGGGGAAATGGGAGGTGGGCTTGTCCCCGGTGGAAGGGTGTAAGCAAGGAGGCGTCACCCTGCAGGGATGGTCCTCCTTCTGGGCAGATCCACGTAATCGACACTCGGAGAATGCAACACAGATCTTGAAAATGCACTTATCGACATACATTGCAGAATCCTTCGAGCCAGGGGCACAGGCTATGTGGATCGTTGCGGCAGGACCCACTAGAATCTCGTTGATAGACATTTTTATTCAATTCGATTGGTCTAAAGAGGCGGATTTACATTGGTTTTCTCACAACCAGCTTCTGGACCTTCAAACCCGGTTAATTGGGTTTGGAGCTCGGTCACAAGAGTAGGGAGGAGCAACAAATCCTTCAAAAGGGATATTCATTCACTCAAAGTCAATTAATTTAAAAGACAAGGTTTCCACCAGATGGAGAGAACAGCTGAATGTTAGTCAAGAAGATTTGAGGTCGGTCAGGTGGTTTAAAACAGTTAAGGAGAAACCGACCAAAATCGCTTCACTCCAATGGCAGATTGAACATAGGTGTCTACCAGTAAATGACTGGCTGATTGACAGATCCTCGTTGGAACAGAAAGGACTAGCAGAAAGATGGTGTAAGTTATGCAAATCAGCCTTCCCAAGCAGAATCTACCCTGAACTATAGAGCACATCTTTATGCAATGTCCGAGTTCAGTATGGCTTTGGAGGTGGTGGGATCGAATCTGGTCACGATTAGTCCCACAGGTTCCTTGGCCATGGGGATGGAAAGTTATTCTTCTTGAGACCTGGAATCCAGATCCGGAATTAGTAGGAAATGATGGAGACTTTGTGGAAAATCTTTTTAGTATGGGGAGAAGAGCGGTGTTGTGGGCCATATGGATGAGGAGATGCACGTATGAATGGGAAGGAGGTAGACTAGATGGTCCTGAATTTACAGACAATATTAAACAACAAATTCAGACAGATATATTGAGCAAATGGGAACGAACAAAAGAAAAAGTTCAATTCCTCTCAGACAAAACAGAAATCCAAGACCATTTTCGTAAATTCAGTCGTAATTGGCTGGGCAGAAACCAGGACAGGAGAATTGGTTGTGTCGTTTGGAATGGAGCTGGGAATGTGGACGGCACTGTTCTGAAAAGAGATTACAAATTGGTCTTTGATGATTGGACTTCCATTGACGCAATTGTTCCCATGCGTCCGTTATCAGATTTCCTAGATCCCTTTCCTTTCCCAACTACTACCCTTGTTCCCAGTTCATGGTATGGTTTATAGAATCAGTACTGCTAGCTTCAACAGGTATATCTGGCGTCCTGGACAGGATGAAGAGGTAGTGTGGTTCTTTTAGTTTCTGTTGACAGGAAGTGAGTGGCAATCTCATTCATTTCTAGAACCTTGTTTCTTATTTATTTCTATTCACATACTGTATTCAAGTTGTACAATCAAGGGACGCTTGACCCGGTTTCCAACAGGTGATGCTCCCCACCAATAGATGGAGCTGTTTGGTTAGAAAAAAAAGAAAAAGAAAAAAAAAGAAAAAAAAGAAGAAGAAGAAGAAGAAGAAGATCCAACGACATTTGGACAGAAGTGGACGTGCAGAAGGGCCTGTGTGCCCTATTGAGAAACGGCCTGCTGACAGGTGCAAAGGACAAAGAATGGGAGCCAAAGTCAGAGGGTTTATAGGCGATAGCTGAATAATGCAGTGCGAGGTGATGGATTCGGTTAAAGCAATGTACGTTAAGGACAAGGTTTGGACTCAATGTCAGAGGGCGGCGGACCTTCATCTGCGATCCCTGAATGTGAATGGGTTGGCCACTGAGACACGACAGGCAATTTGGGATCTTCTTAGAGGTGTGGGATGTAGAACTTGGCCGGACGTGATTTGTGTCTAGGAGTCACATCTCATGGACTCACGGGAACACAATAGAATACATAAAACGGTCTGGCCGGATAGCCTTTTAGCACACGCCCCGAAGTCTGGGAGTGCGGGCGTTGCTATTTGGATCCCCCCCGTCTCCCGTGTGGATCCGGTTCACTGGGTAGTTGACCAGGAAGGAGGCAGATGGGTGTCGGTCCTTGTCATGCTTGAATTGGTGGTGGTCTGCATTATTTGCATATATGTCACCAATGGGGTGGGGGACAGGAGAGCATTTTTTGAAGACATTAAAGCCCAGATCCTGGCCGGGATACCGGTCATTATAGTAGGCGACTTTAACGCTGCCCCTGACCGATGGATGGATAGATGGAGGACGTCGTCTCCGCCCCCCCGCCCCCCCCGCCCCCCCCGCCCTCTATAGAAGAGGATGAGCATATGATCAGGGATCTATGTTTGTCATTTTAACCACCAGTACTTGGCCCAGCTATCGATGCCGAGCCTGGAATGCCCCTGCGCGCCAATTTTCGCTGAAGCATCGGGGTACCGTTTTGAATTTTTTTTGGCTGGCGCTTCCAGCCATTGTGGTCCGGTACCCCGAAGCCCTAAAGGCGCGGCGCGTTAACGGGAAAGCGCCGCGGCCGATAGCTGGACCAAGTACTGGTGGTTTAAGGTGTTCGATACATTTCGGAATCTTCACCCAGACACGCGTCTGTACTCATGTTTGGGGAAAACAGGGACAGAGGGTCATTCAAGATCCAGAATCGATTTGATTTTTATTTCAGAGGACCTACAGGGATCGCTTCTCTTAGCGCTCATTTTGCCACGAAGCTCGTACCTGGTACTGGACCACAAGATGTGCTCAATTATTCTGTCGTTTCGTAACAAGCCGGACCAGGACCTGGATTTTACAAGTTGAATGTTTCTATCCTCCAATAGCAGCCGTTTCAAAAGTATCTTGAGGATTGTTGGGCCTTTTGGTACACACAAAAACAATCTGTTTTTTCCGGAACAGATTGACTGGTTTAACAATGGTTTTCCTTAGCAAAAAATGTCAGGAATGCACCTCACAACTTGTCGTCAGGAGACATGAAAAGAAATCGAGATTCTTCAGCAACTACAGCAATTTGAACAACAGAAAACAAATGAGGAGCCAAATACAGAGTCTCAAGACCATTTAGATATATTGTCCTTACAACAACAGCTTGAATTTTTCGCCACACAACAATGGGAGGGAACGTGCATCAGGGGCAGACTAGCGAGGCATCAAATTGAGGGATCAAAGGATAAGAAGTTTTTTGCTCTTGCCCGGGTACACACAAGCAGCACGTCTATAGAGGCTTTCTATGACCCTGAGCAAGGTAGTGAGAATGTGGTAACCTGCACTCCCCATTGTGTACAAGTGGTGAGGCCCTTTTGTCAAGGATCTTTTTACCTCTAGATACTCTCAACGGAACATGGCCACCAGGGAGGTGGAGATTGCAGAATTTTTGAAACCTCTCTTCAAAAGCTTGTCGGCTCACCAAAAAAAACAATTAGACTGCCCACTCTCTAAGGAGGAAATTTGGACGGCTTTGCACCAGATGGATGAGGAAAAGGCACCTGGCCTCGATGGATTTCCCAAGGAGTTTTGGGAAACCTTTTGGGTCAGGATGGCTCTGGATCTTATGGAGTATTATCACCATGTGTGGGAGACAGGTGGTATGGGGGAGTTGGTGGGCCAGGGAGATCTTACCTTGTTACACAAAAAGGGGGATAATGTTACGATCCTGGTCATTTCCCAAGTGCAAATTCACAACGAAAGACAATGCCACCCAATTGCGAAAGAAATGAAAGCACTTGCAAAGAGATAAAGAAAGACCAGAGGAGAGAGAAAGAAGAAGAAGAAGAAGAAGAAGAAGAAGATATGCACCAGCAAGACCAATGACAATTCCCCCTTCTCTCTCCACCTTCCTCCTCCTCCTTCACTTCGCCAAT